TTTTTTGCACTTATAATTCACATTAGTTTTTTTTAATCTGCTTCGAATTATTTCGAATTATTTTGCGTAAAATTGCATTATTTCTTGTGTAATATTGCATAATTATCTTATGTAATATTTCGTAATTATATATTTCGCAATATTGCGAAAGTTATTACGTAATATTACAGTTTTCTTACACTTCGTAAATTATTGCGCAATATTACGCCCTATTAAATTTGCTGATGTATTAAGCTAACTGTCATATATTTGTTACACAAATTACAAAGATAAATTTTTTACTATGAAATTTGAGTAATCAATATTCATATGATCAATTAATTTTTTATAGTAAATTGCAACTGCAGGCCCTTCTCAAATAGCTTTTTCAAAGGTTTTCTAAAAAGAAACCACAATCACAAGATAATAAAAACACTTTAGTTACATATATGCTTCCTTATTTTTAAGCCTAAAGTAATATAAGTTGCTAAGCTAAAAAGAATCATGCCCTTAAAGTTGGTCTTTTGTTTTACTTTATACTTTTTATCTTGCTTTAAAAGCTTTTTTTAAGTATAACAATAAACTTACTGAGTTATTTAATATTCTAAACTATTTAGAGTTATTATTAATAAAGATTTATTAAAATTCAAGCAGATTATAACTAACCAAATAAATTAAATTAGAATCAAAGATATTAAAATAATGCTTACTACTACAGTACTAATATAATTTTTAAAAATTTAAATAAAGCTATTGATAAAAACCTTAATATAGATGAAAAAATTTTAACAGTGGATTATTTAAGAAGTATATGAAGTCAAATTTTTAAAATTTTTAGGTTGGTTTAAACTACTATCAATGAGATATTAAAACTATCAACTAGAGATTAAAGCTATAGAGTTTAATACTTAGAGTACTAATATTTATTATGTAATATCTATTTACTATAAGAGCTAAACCCCTTCCTTTACATAAGATCTATATTATTAGCCAATTTAGAAATCATATAATTTCTTTGTATAATATGAAATATTGATATAATACATGCTCAACCCACCTTTAAAATATTATATAATAAATATCAAAGCTCTTAAAGAGAGTTAATTGAATTAAAAAAATTTTTTTAATAGAAATTAAATTATATAATCTTTATTTATATTTCTTGCCAAAATTTTTTTAATAATTATTAAAATTTTAATTTATTAAACTAATTCATTAAAGCTAATAAACAAAACATAATTTTCTATTTAAAAAAAAATGTAAAAATATCTTTTTATAGAGTTACTTTTATAGGTAAAATATAAAATTTATATTTTGTACTATAAATTCAGTAAAATTAGTTATGATAGTAATAGCTTACAAGTCATATTGAGGTAATTGCTTAAAAACTCCTAACTAGTGTTTTGATCCTATTTTCAAAAGGCCATTTAGATTAAATTCTGATCCTATTCAACATATCTGGTTTATTCAAATTTTAATTTGAATTAGCAATAGTGGGAATTCTACATAGTAATTAAATATTCAATATGTAGTATTTCGTCCTATTTTCAAAAGACTAGATACTTGAAACATTGTCTATGACTAAATTGATAAGTTTTTAATGTCGGCTAACATCAGTATAACTTATTGGTTTGGTCATTAGAAAATTTTTTAGCTATATTGAAATTATGAAAACAGCTATAATTCACTGACAACTCATTTCACTGACAGTTTATTTCACTAACTGCTTATTTCACAAAGCAATTCTGGTTATTGTCAGGTTTGAATTAAAGTTAAAGTTTGTGTAATTTATAAAAAAACTTGTCAGCAAAATGAGCTATTAGTGAAATAAACTGTTGGTGAAGTGAACTTGTTAGTAAATTACAGTAGTATTCGAATTTTAAAGTAATTCAAAATATATATATTTAGGATAAGGATTTGTATAATCCTTATCCTTAATCCAATATTTATTGCAGATCTATCTGTTAAAATAAACAGATTAGGATATCTATATTTAATCTTAATTATTGGATCAATTTGAATACTAATAATTATTAATAAATAATTTTTGAAATAAATAAATAACTTTTTATACTTTTAATACAGATAAATAAAACTAAATAAAATAATAAGTATTAACAACCTTAAATAGTATAAAAAATTTTTACTAAGTAAAAAATAAAACAAAACCATAAAGTTATTAAGTGATCTACATGCTATAAAACAGTTTTCTTAATTTTTCTCATTACATTTATAATATACCAGCCCTTTACATATGCATTTTAGTAAAAGCTCTCTCTCTGATGCACCTAATAGATCATTTTTTGTGACAAATTTTGTTAACCTAAGAAGAATAAGTGAAAGTAGCCAAAATAATTAAGAGAGTAGTAATTTATAAGAAGAATACAATTTGTATATTTCTTATACTATTTGATTCATAAAAACTTTAGCAACAGTTTTATCTAAAGAAACAATATATATAGATTTAAGGTTTTAGACAAAGTTTTTAAAATTGCAATTTTAGCAAATTATATAATTTGTGAAGATTATATAATAAAATTTTAGATATGACAAATCATGTAACTGCTAGTTAAAAAAAAGCTAATTTATATTTATTTATTTATTTGATATATTTTTTAAAACTTATTTTGTTAAATTTATTATAATTTTTTTGTTTTTAAAGTGCTTGTTTTTGAAATTAGAATTAGATTTAATTTATATTTTAAAAGCATTATATAGATGAAAATATAATTATCTAGTTTTGAAAGAGCAATAACAATTTAATATCAAATTTATTTCTAATAATAAACTTAGAATCTATAACTATTGATTGTTAAAAGTTGAATACTATATATATTATAAGTTCACAAGTATATAAATATATCAAAATATAGATAAAATTTCTGAATATATAATAATTTATAGCAAATTTTTTTTATGGATAATTACAAATTGGTGTAATATAACTAATGAAATAAATTTTTTAAATTGTTATAATTTTACTAGTAGATAATCATTTTTTATAATTAAATAAATATAATTATAATTGTGATTGCTAAAGCTAGCCAATTTATTATAGATCTAAGCTTAATACAAACTTAGATTCATAATGAATTAGCTAGTATCATGGTAATATACAGTATACAGTAAACATGTATGAGAATAAATATAAAGTAAACGATTAATCATTATCTTGTGCATGTAATGCATGTGACAAGTAATCGATCAGGAATTAAGAGATCAAGTAATAATCAATTATACAATTAAAGTAGTATGTATAAAATATGGGGTAATTTATTAGTAATATAAATATCAAATGATTGTATGATCATATATAAGCAAATTATAATATAAGTAATATGACCCAAAGTATGTACCTTAATTTGCAGCAAATAGTACCCTGGGTCTCTTACATTTCTAGAAGCAAAATCTTGATTAGTACCTAGTAGATGCTTTGTTAGGTGGAGGGTATTTTATATGGGGGGAGTTTATATAAGAAGTATATTTAAATTGACTAATCATTTAATAGAATTATAATGAAATTAAAAAAAAAAGATATAAAAGAAGGCATGCATTATATAAATTGCATTCTAGATATACCCAGGTCTTTTACAATCATGTTTGCAATAAATACTTGATTAATCCCAGATACAAATCTTGGGGGTACACTAACAAGGAGGTACTATTTGTTGCAAATTATGGTATATAGCCAAAGTATTTGAAATAATAGTTTTAGTTAGTTAGTTTGTATGAGTTTCACTCTTAGACAAATTAAAAACCTTTAATAAATAAAGTAATATATAAAGTACAAAACACTTGCCTTGTTGAGTTTGGTTTGCTTAGTGTCTGATTATTAATACCTACTATCCAATTAGATTTTTCTTTGACAAAAGTCATTTATTAATCTGTGATATGAGAATCTGGGCAAATTACCAGCCTATCTTACAACAAATTAGTATCGAAGATAAACCTGATATTGATTTACATGAATGTGAAAGAAGAAAAAGATATGTGCATTAAAAATATAGATAAATGTGAAGGAAGAAGAAGATATTTGTATTAAAAATATAGATAAATGTGATGAGTTGATATGACAAAAAGTGAATAGTAATAAAGATAAAAGGATGGCTAAAAAAGGTAAGATATAAGCATAATAATTAGCAAAAACATTAGTAACAATGAATTTAAAGTATCTAAAGAGGATCTGAAACTTGCTACACCAAATTATGAAATAAGTTTAATTGAAATATTTTGGGATAATATTGAAAGTAGCAATACTAATCAAGCTTAATTAGAGAAGAAAATGCTGAAGAAAATGATATTGAAAGTAATAATTCAATTGGTAAAGTGGATGATCGAGAATTGGATGACTTGGAAGCTAAAATTGACTAGTTGTTGTCAGATATGAAGAATGTGATAGTGAATCTGCAAATGTCTAGTGTAGCAATAGAATATATGATGTTGGTTATTACGATTGGGAAGAAATAATTGGGGATAAAAAGGATAAACACAAGAAATTCATCTGTTGTCAAAAAAATAAGATGAATAGTAATAAAATAGAATTCATAAAAGAAATAAAAATCGATGATCTAATAGATTTTGATAAATCTGATCATATAGATGAAAGAGAACCTAAAAACATATTTAATGCATTTATTAAAAAAGATTTGATTGACTTTGGGTGTGGCAGAAGAGTCAATGATGAATATTAATAGTGAAGAAGTAAATAATGCTAGAATTGAAAGAGTAGATGAGGTTGTAAATTGTTGCCAAAATAGAGCAATTGATATGCTAGAAGCACAATTGAATGTAGTTTTAGGAAAAGAAGAAATAGTAGAATATTTATTGAAAGTGTTAAGTGATGATGGCTTTAATTAATTTGTTTGTGGTGTGGATTTGTCCAAATAGCATTGGCATATGAACTTTAAGAATCTTGATAATAGAATTTTTGAATGGTACTATGAGCAAACTGCAAATGACAATTCAAATATATGACTTGACATTGGGGTGGTAATTGAATAATAAGAAGTAAATTTGATTAAGGAAAAGGATTGTTGGTGAAAAGTAATAGTAAAAGTAAGTTTGGTGATATGTATTGTTATAGAACGAGTTTATTATTAGTTTATTATTTTATTATTTATTATTTATTAATTATCTTAGAATATTAATATTATCTTGTATTATTATTAACATGTCGCTTAATCGCTTAATTGCTTAGTCGCTTAGTTGCTCAGTCGCTTAGTCGCTTAGTCGCTTAGTCGCTCAGTCGCTTAGTCGCTCAGTCGCTTAGTCGCTTAGTCGCTTAACTAT